CCCAAGGAGAGCAGCTCCCCCAGCTGTGACCCCCGCAGGGCAGAGGGGATCCCGGCCCTTAGCCCTGTCCCGCGGCCAGAGACCCGAGTTCATGGTGGCCGTCCCCATCCGAGGTCCCCGGTGGCCCTGACTCTCCCCAACCCCAACCCCACGGCCCCTCCCCCACCCACTCTCGGTGCCCGGGTCTCCAGAAACAGCAGCGCGGCCCACGGGCCCGGGGCTTCCCCGATTCAGGGTCAGGAAGGAGCCGAACACCTCGACTCCTTGGCCTAAGCGGCCGGCAGGTGAGACCCGCGCCCGGGGAAGGCGGGCCTGGAGGTCTCCCCTGCCGGCCGCTGGGCCCTCGGCATCGCCCTCTGGCGCCCCACCCGGTCCGAGGCTCGGCTCCAGCCCCCACCCGGTCCTCCGAGCGCCGGGAGGGCTCGGCCCCGAGACCCCTGCCCCCGGCCCACCCACCGCCTTCCGCTCCGGGTGACCGCTGGACCCGGGTGCTGGGAGGGGCCACGCAGAACGCCCGCCCCGCCCCAAAGACGCGCCGCCGCCGGTCCCGCGCCACGGGCGGGCGGGCGGAGGGCGACGGGCGCTGGGGCGGGGACTCCCGATCGCCCCTCCGTTTCCAAGGGCAGCTGTGTGAACTGACCCTTCGGCGACACCTTCCGCCTTCCGCGCGGCCGCACCACCTTGTGCAAAGTGTTGACGGTTCCACAACTTGGAGGAACCAGGAAAAGTCACCGCTGTGCCTCCAGGGCCCCGGGCGGAGCCAGCTGCCCCCGGAGGCTCGCACCGGGGAACGCGGGCGGATTCGGCGGCGGGGCGAGCGGGCTGGGTGCGGGTCCGGGACCCTGGGCGGGGCCCTCTTCGCTCCCCATCGCCGGGTTTTGGACTCTCACGCTGGCGAGGCAAAACGCGGCAGATCCCGAGACCCGACTTTCAGGCGGAGGGTCCCCCACCCTTTCCATTCACCCATCAACCCTCCCCGCACCTCCCTCCTCGCCCCCGAGCCAGAGCGGCTGTCTGAGATCCAGGCCGTAGTTTCTGTCTGGCCACCACCCAGCTCCGGGTGCCAGGTCGCACAGGTGAGGGGTCTCCCAGGGGCAGAGAGCGAAAAGTGGGGCGGATCGCCGGCCGGCGGAAGGGCTTCTGGTGCCGGCCTTGTCAGCCGCTCAGCATCAGTCATCATTCATTCAACTATGGGCGACGAATAGAAAAGGCACCAGCGGATTCGTTAGCTGCCGGACGGGCACCCACGCAGGACTCCGGCAGGAGCTTTAGGAAAAGCAATCCCGCCAGATCTCCTGGCCTTAAGAACACTCCTGCCCCCCATTCAGGCCGGCCCCTGAGCATCAGGGACGGGCAACAACGGGTGCTCCTGGCAGCCAGGACACAAATGACAACATTACCTTCTAGTCGGGGCGTGCGTATCTGTAGGCACAAGGACACATCCAGGTTACTATTCTGGCTACCAGGCAGGGGCAGAGAAGGACTGCTAACTTTTCCTTTTTTAAAAAAATTATTCCTTTATTGATTTTATATAGAGAGGGAGAGAGATAGAGACATCAATGAGAAAGAACAGCAATTGGCAGCCTCCTGCATGCCCCCCACTGGGGATTGGGCCCACAACTGGCCCAATTGAACCCGCGACCTCTGGATGCATGGGTCCATGCTCAACCCCTGAGCCACACCGTCAGGCCGGGCAGGACTGGTTGAATTTTTAATAACAAAACAATAATTGATCACTTCCACCTTCCACCAAGCCCTGTGTAGGGTGCTCTGGTGGTAGAGAGGATAAAGCTCAGCCGCGAGGGACTCCCAGCCAGCTGTGACAGAAGGCCCCCGAGTTTAGTGACCCTTCCAAATTCATGTACATAGGGGGTTCCAAGGACCATCCCAGGAGCTGGGCTGTGGCCTGCACAACTCCGGGGGCACTGGAGTCTGAAAACAGTGCAGACTGTGCACCATCCAGGGGTCTGAGCCCAGGGGAACTCAGCCTTCATCAGACCGGCCGGCTGCAGGGCTCTTGATCCCAACCCATACTTTATGCTTATCTACGGTGGATGCCCAGTGTGAGGAGAGACGGAGCTGGGCCCTGCAGGGAGGCAGGAACGGGAGGGCTTGGGTATGCACCACGCCCCCACCAATCCACTATCCTTGAGGGCGCTGGGTAAGTCTGATTCCAGATGTTCAGCAGCTGTCGTGGCCATTTCCGCCCCTTCTCTGACCCTGCATCCGCCAGGAAGCATCCCCTCCTGTCCTCAGGCTCTGAGCCAGCCCCCACCTTCCCGGCACCCCATTTCCTGAGCAGAGGCGTTTATGCAGACTCAGCTCCCCCTCCCAAGGCCCGGGCGCTGCTCCCAGAGTCCTGGGCCACTGTGGTCGGACACCCTCTGCCAGGGGCTCTGATCCTGGCCCCAGCCCCTCCAGCCTCTGGGACTGGTTTTCTCTCTCTCCCTCCATTCCTTCTCCAAGGTTGTGTAGCCTGCAGCATAAATCAGGGCCTCCAGGGAGCCTGAGCAGAACTGGCCAGGAGGGAGCACTGCCTGTGTGGGAGGGTGGGAGCCTGTGGGGAGAAGGCCAGAGGTCATAGAGACCAGCAGGCTCCGTGGGGGTGGGGTGCATACTTAGAAATCTGCCTGCAGACACTGGGGGCGGGGTCGAGGGGGGCTTGCCTCCTGGAACTGAGAACTGACAATTGGGGACACAGCCCCACCTTCCGGGAGCAGCTGTGGGGCACAAGAGGTCACTGCAGCTGGTCCAGTCTGGGGGCTCCTCTGGAGGGGACAGTGGGAGGAGGGCTCCCTTCCTGTCACATGCTTTCCTGTCTCAACAGAGCTGGTGGTTCTGGGGCACTCAGGCTCCCACGGGTCGGGCGCAGGGCCGGGTAGGGAGTAGGGCTGGGGGCCAGAGACAGGGTAAGGCTCCCAGGGGGCCAGCAGCTCCAGCCTGGTGAACTCTGCCCTTCAGAATCCGCCCCTCCCTCCATTCCTGCTCTTCCAGGGGAACCAAGGGCAGGTGGGCCTGGCTGAAGGAAAGCCAGCTGGGAGACTGCCCCAGGGGGACGCGACTCCTGGGGAAATCTAAGTAAAATGTGGCGTGTGCACAACCCTCCAGGACACCCCAACTGCATCTGCTGTATCTGCCCCAATGGCCCAGGGTGGAAGGAGCCTCTCTGCTCTGTTGTCTCACAGAATGAGCTTGGAGCCTCTGGGTCTGCACTGCCCCTCCTGTGGCACTTGAAAGAGGTTCCTGGACAGTACATGCCCCCACTCTCTCCCAAGCCTTCCATCTCCATCCCTAACCAGGGCCAGGACCACCAATCCCCATGGGCACCTCCACTCAGCCCTGGACCCCAGGTGTGGTGCCCTGGGGTCTCCCTCTTGGGGCAGTCCTCCCGCTGCCTCAGGACCCAGTGAAGAGGTGAGGTCATTGCAGGAACCGGAGGGGGTACCTTGCCCAGGTGCACCTGTGCACCCTGAGACACCTGGGGTCCTGAGGACCTGACCAAGGAGCAGAGCAGCCCAATCAGGAGTAAGAGCTGGGAAATCTGAATCTCAGCCAGCTGGGGGGAGGGGTACAGAGGGTAGAGTTGCCAGATTTAGCAAAACTCAACAAACAAATCTACAAACAGGATATCTAGTATGTCCCCTGCAATACTTAGGATATACTTATACTAAAAAAGTATGTGTTCTTTACCTGAAACTCAAATTTAAGTGGGTATTTTATCTGAAAACCCGGGAGGATAGTCAACTCTCCCAACCCACTGACCTTGCCCATTGACCCCTCCTGCCCCACAACCCCTACGGGCAGCAATGTCCTCAGCTCCGCTTCCCAAACCTGGTGGGGCTGATTGGGCCGGCAGTGCCCACAACCCAGACACATGGGAAAGCAGAGAGGGCTGCTGGTCCTGGAATCCCCTCCCCAAAGGCTGGGTCTCTGAAGCAAGTCTGGCTCTTGGGCTGCAAGGGTCTGGACGGCTTTGCAAGTCCTGTTTCAGGTCTGGGCCATTGTGAAGGAGCCCAGCGCTCTTCCCTGGCTCCCCTTGTGGCCTCTAACCCCGCCACCTTTGCCTTCAGGTGGGCTGTCCCTCTCTGGTGGAGGAAAGGGGAACCCACTAGAGCCTTCTAGAAAAGAGGAAGATACAGCTTGTGGGGAGGTTTGAGGCGGAGGAAGGCTCGACCAGGGGCTGAAAATGAGGAACACTGGCCAGAAAGGGCCCACCTGGAGAAGGTCACTGCCTGTGCTGGCCCCGTGGAAAGAGGACCCAGGACAGGCGGGGATTTCCAGCCTGCATTCACCCCCTTTCCTGAGAAGGAAGGTGTAGAGGGGTGGGGGCTACGTACCATGAGCACAGGCTGCCTCCCTGCCCCAGCAGAGCTCCACCAGACGGCAGTGTCAGATTTCCTGGGCGGGCTTCGGGCACCTAGCACAGGCCTGGGCAGAGAACCTCGAACCCCCAGCTTCCCCAGAAGACTTTGTCTTCGTAAACACTCACACAGCCCGACCCCAGAACTACTTCGGCCTGCCCCTGGCTCCCTTTACCACCAGTGCGGGTGCCTCCCAAGGATTTCCCACTTCTCTGTCCACCTTCAGTTTAAGGAGGAGCAGGGCAGGTGCTGCTCAAAGAGTGGGTGACAGGTGAGTGAATAGGAACAGGAGAGAGACAGGCAAGGAGGGCATGGGAAGGGTGTGGCCACTTCAGGGTCCTAAGGCCTGTGTCCCAGGGGTGGGGCAGAACTTGAGGACCCCCACACCTGGGAACCTTTTGTGAGCCCATCACAGGGTGTAGCCCCCCCACCCCCAGCAAGTGACTCACAAAGCTGGCTGGCACAGATGCCACTGCCCATAGTCCCTGGAAGACCCAGGTCATAAAGGCTATGAAGACCGAGCCCTGAGCGGTGCTCACCCCTCAGCGGCCTGCTGGGCCGGGCCTGGGCCTCTGACCACAACCCAGTGCAGCGACTGTGCATTAGGGTTCTCCCCAGCACCTGGCAGCCTGCACGCCCATGTGTGTCGTCTGCTTCGTGAAGGCGCTAGTGCACGTTTTCAAGGTCTATCTGACCGCCAACTACACCTACAATTTCCGCGGCTGGCCCGTGGACTTCCGCTGGGATGACGTGCACGCCTCCAGCGCGAGCGGCAGTCACCGCGCGCTGACGTGCACCGCGGCGGCGGCGGGCGTGTGGCTGCTCCAGGATGCGGCGCTGCGTGAACACGAGCCTGGGAGGCCGCTGCACGGGTCACGCAGCCAGTTGCAGTGCCTCCTGCAGCAGATCAGAGAGCTGCCCAGCCAGCTCGCCAGCTACCTGCTAGCGCACTCGCTGGGCCGCTGGCTCGTGTACCCTGGCTCCATGTTCCTGATGACCCGAGCGCTGCTGCCGCTGCTGCAGCAGGGCCAAGAACGCCTCGTGGAGCGCTACCACGGCCGGCGAGCCAAGCTGGTGGCCCGTGACGGCAACGAGATTGACACCATGTTCATGGATCGCCGCCAGCAGCCGGGCAGCCAGGGCCACGGCCTGCACCTGGTCATCTGCTGCGAAGGCAACGCCGGCTTCTATGAGATGGGCTGCCTGTCGGCGCCGCTGGAGGCTGGCTACTCAGTGCTGGGCTGGAACCACCCAGGCTTCGGGGGCAGCACTGGCGAGCCGTTCCCCCAGCACGACGCCAACGCCATGGACGTGGTGGTCAAGTACGCGCTGCACCGCCTGCACTTCCCGCCGACGCACGTGGTAATCTATGGCTGGTCCATTGGCGGCTTCACGGCCACCTGGGCCACCATGACCTACCCGGAGCTGGGTGCACTGGTGCTGGATGCCACCTTCGATGACCTTGTGCCTCTGGCCCTGAAGGTCATGCCCCAGAGCTGGAAGGGACTGGTGGTGCGCACCGTGCGCGAACACTTCAACCTCAATGTCGCCGAGCAGCTGTGCGGCTACCCCGGGCCTGTGCTGCTGCTCAGGCGCACACTGGACGACGTGGTCAGCACCTCGGACCACCTGCGCCCCCTGCCGTCCGGCGACGTGGAGGGCAACCGCGGCAACGAGCTGCTACTGAGCCTGCTGCAGCACCGCTACCCGGTTGTGATGGCAAGTGAGGGCCTTGCCATCGTGACCCGCTGGCTGCGCGCCGGCACCGTGGCCCAGGAGGCAGCTTTCTATGCGCGCTACCGCGTGGACGACGACTGGTGCCTAGCACTGCTGCGCTCCTACCATGCGCGCTGCAAGAAGGAGCAGAAGGATGAGAAGGCCTGGGGGCCGCACGGGCTAGCCTTCCCTTGGCTGGTGGGTCAGGGCCTGAGCCGGCGGCGGCGCCGGCAGCTCGCTCTATTCCTGGCCCGAAAACACCTCAAGAATGTGGAGGCGACTCATTGCAGTCCCCTGGAACCTGAGGACTTTCAGTTGCCCTGGAGGCTGTAGCCCAAACCCCTGTGGCAATGGGCATTTGTGCTTTTGCTCACCTTCAGGGCCTCAGGGCTGTTCCCTTCCCCACACCCCATCCAGTAAAGCTGCCCTGCCCAGGGGATCCCAGCCTAGCATCTGGGAGAGGGTGGGACATTCCCTGCTCCCTTTCTCTTCCTCAAACACTTGTGGATGTCCTAGTCCACTTTCAGCTCCTAAAAGGAATGCAAAGATTAGCTTGACCCAGTTAATGGCAATGCTGTGTGATGGCTACTTTGAACACCTCAAAACGATGGTGGGAACATGGGCTGTGGGACCCGAACTGGTGCTGTTTCCCCAGCCTAGGTTACAGCATGGCTCTGGGAAGCATGAGTGTTGAAAGGTCTGTGCGTAAGTTGCCCCCAGCTGTGAAAGGACATTGGCATCTATAAAGCAGGTCTTAGCAGCTGGACCTTCCTGAATTGTGATGCTGCTGCTCTGTAGGTCCTCTCCCCACCTCCACTCCTGGCTTCTACAGGAGGGGTTCAGGGGACCACAGACTCAAACTAACAGGCACACACCATGTGGCATGTCCATGTGGGGATACAGACGCACCTGCACCAACCACTCACCAACTGAGCATCCGCTGAGCCAGGCCTGGGCTGGGACTTGTTCCTAGCTCAGGGATGCAATATAGAATGAGAAACAAGCTCTCTGCTCACCACTCTCTGTGATGCAGTCACTTCCTTACTGTCTGCTCTGAACTGTATGAAGCAGGGACTCCTGGCTGTCCCCAGCCTCTGGAGACAGGCTGGCCAGGGTGGGTTGAGCAAGAAACTTTGGAAAAACTGAAAACGTCAAGCGGGGCAAACATAATTGACAGCACCAGAGCAGGATATGGCCATGATGCACCTGGGCAAATACAAGGAGAGGTACATACATAAGGTGACCTAAAGTACCAGGAAGACGCCTGTGGGAGGTGAGCTTTGAGCTGAGCCAGAAAGAGGAGTTAGGTTAAGGAAGGGGCGTCCATGCCTGGGGATCAGAGTGGCTTGGCCAGAAGCGGGGAGTATAGTTCCTAAAGAGTCGGATCCTAAAGGGTTGGAATACCATTTAAGGATTTGCAGCCAGGCGTAATTAGGAGATGAAGACGGGAAGTTGTAGAGCTTGCCTTTGGGAGAATGGCTGCCTAAGGGTTTATACATCTCTCATTTGGGAAGTTAGGCAAGTTAGCCTCTTGTTCAGCGTCGGCCGGAAGCCCCTCAACTAACCCCAGTTTACTCATCTGTAAAGTGGGAGGAGGGTTCCGCCTGGGAACAGAGTCGCCCCTCGCCCGTTGAGGGCAGCGGCGCCTGCAGGGCAAGAGGACAGATCACAGTCACGCCTTTTTCTGCAAAACCCCCATACTAAGGGGGAAAAAATCCTCGTAAACGGGCGCACTATAAAAGAAAAAAAAAGACAGGCTGGGGGAGAGGCTAAATCCATAGTCAAGGGTCGGGCCTCGGAGGGATCGCAAGCGTTCTGAGTCTGGCCCGTCAAGGTGCGTGGCCTCGGTCGCCCGCAGGCAGCGGGAAACACCTGAGACTCCCAGGGGCCCGGGTGGTGGGTCTCCGTGGCGCCATGTTGGCCAGTCTTCCCACTTCCCACTTTCCCCGGGCTCCTCCGGACCGTTCTACTTGTGCGTCTCGCTGGTGGAGCCGACCTGGGAGGGATTTCCTCAGAAGCCAGCCTCCCTTTCCTGCTTCGTCCGCAGCCTTGACCAATCAAGTTGGAGTAGATGAACCGACGCTGGGCAAAACAACGCCCTTATTGGGCAGTGCTCGTGGGGGCGGGACGAGGGCGGAGCCAGCGTCAAAGCGGAAGTGGGCCGTCGCGTCGCTTATTACGTAATGCCACGGCGGCCGAAGTGGTTCCGCTGGCTTGTGTGTGCGCGGCGAACAACTCCCAGTGCGGCGCGCTCGGCTCCTACACCCGCGACCCCGGCTCTGACTGCAACTGCGGCCGGGCCGCCGCCTCAACATGGACTCTGCTGGCCAAGGTAGCTGCGGGCCCAACCGGCCCACGCTCCGCCCCCCCCCCCCGGTCGCGTTTCGGACTCTCGGTGCTCTCCTTCTCCACCTGCCCTGCGGCTCCTCTCGGCTCCCGGCGCCCCGACCACGATGGTCATGGCGTGCGTCTTCCGCTCCCCGCTTGGACCGCCGCGAGGACGGGTTCCCAGGCACCCTCCCCTAGTCCCCAGAGTTGTGGGTGTCCGCTCTCCGGGTAGCTCTCCTTGTGCCCCCGCCCCGTGCGCCCTCGGAGACACTCCACCCCGACCTGTGCCGAGGCGTTGTGCGCGGCCCCCGGGGAGGGCCGGTGAAACCGCCCTTGCGTTCAGCGCGGCGCCCCTTGGGTGGCAACGCTGCTCGGAACCCAGCCTGCTTAGAGGGTGTCTCGGGGGGTGGGGGTGGGGAGAAGGGTGCAGTGAGTCGGGCACACCCAGCATGCCTGACCTAACCCCAGAGCAGTTCGAGATGGTCGCTGGGGGCGTGGTCATGTCTCAGGAGGTTAAAAGCTTGAGAAGGTTTTAACAATTCTGCCTCCCGTTAGGAGAGGGGACGCTAAATTTCTGAGTTGACATGACTGTATTGGGTAATTTCAGGGAGCTTTTCTGCTGTGTGAGCTTATCAGTGTATTAACTGAATGTTAGAGCTCATTAACTGAATATTATTCTGATACTATTCGGTAGGTTTTTCTACTTTTGACGTCTGTTTATAACATAGTTGAACGTCAAAAGCCCCCCAGAGAGCTTTGATACGTTCAAGAAGCTCTTCACTGTTTGGCCTGTATCTCTAAACGTCACAAGCACTGGGTTCTGATAATGAGAGTGACAGCATTTACTGAGCACCTACCGTGTGCCAAACGTCATACTAAGCCTGCTTCTCAAATGACCGTTGTTAGAATAGCCCTTTGAGATTGGTCCTTGCATTGCTCCCATCTGCAGGTGGTTATACAGGCTTAGAGAGCAGGGCTCACCCAGGGTGAAGGACCCGCCCTTGTGGCACCAGCCCCATGCTGATTATCTGTGCTGGCATGTTTAGTGAGTGCCCAGTTTCTGCCTGGGGATGACTTCCAGGGGATCCAATTTTAGCTTTATAGCCAGAAACTGTCCAGTGTCCTTCCTTTATTTTATTTTTTAATCCTCATCCAAAGATATTTTTCTGTTTATCTTCAGATAGAATGGGAGCAGGGTGGGGAGGGAGAGAGAAAAAAAACATCGACGTTAGAGGGACACATCGACTTGCCTCCCACAGGACCCCGACCAGGGCAGGGGACAAACCACAACCAAGATATGTGCCCTTGACTGGAATCAAACCTGCGACTCTTTGGTCCTCAGGCTGACACTCTAACCACTGAGCCAAACTGGCCAGGGCTCGTTTATTTTTTTTAAATAGAAGGGAGTCCTTGAAAGTATGGCTCGTTGGTTGAGTGTTATCCTGTGCACTGAAGGTTGCCAGTTGGACTCCTGGTGAGGTCACATGCCGGGTTGCAAGTTCCATCCCTGGTAGGGGCGTACAGGAGGCAGCAGTTTGATGTTTTTGCTTTCACGTGGATGTTTCTATCTCACTCTTCCTTCCTCTGAAGAGAAAAATTGTAGAGATTTTAGGGCATTTACTGAATTTGAGCAGGTTGACGAAACAAAGTCACGTAGATTGATCCCAGTTAAAAATCAGAATCAGCCCTGGCCAGTTTGGCTCAGTGGTTAGAGCGTCGACCCGAGGACCAAAGAGTCTTGGGTTTGATTCTGGTCCAGGGCATGTACCTTGGTTGTGGTTCAACCCTGGCCCTGGTAGGGTTGGTGCAGGAGGCAACCAATTGATATATCTTGCTCACACTGATGTTTCTCTCTCTCTCTTTCTCTCCCTCTCCCCATCTGAAGATAAATAGGAGAAATATCCTCAGGTGAGGATTAAAAAAATAAAAGTGGATATGCTTAATTTTGTAAATAGCTGTTAGCACCAAGGAAGTGCCCATCTTGAGCTGTGTGGGGGGTTATGAAGAGAACAGGACAGCTGGCTAAGTGGAGCATCTTGGCTTTAAGCACATTCCATCTATTTTTAGCAGACTTTGGGATTTCTACAGTAGACAAACATGTCTGCAGTTCAAGACACTTTTTACTCTCTAAACTTCGTGTCTTTTTTTTTTTAAATGTTTTACTGGTATATATATACACTTTTATACATATGTACTTATGTGTGTATATATATATATATATATATATACTTTTTTTTTTTTTTCTTTTTCAGGGAGAGAGGAAGGGAAAGGGAAACATCCAAGAAAACCATTGATCAGCTGCCTCCTGAATGCCTCCTACTGGGGATCGAGCCTGCAACCCAGGCAATGTGTTCTGACTGGAATCAAACCAGGACCTCTCAGTCCATGGGATCAGGCTCAGTCCACTGAGCCACACCGGCAAGGCCTAACCTTCATGCTTTTTATTTCATTTACTTTTTTTTAATCTTTACCTGAGGACATTTTTCTCTTTATCTTCGGATAGAGTAGGAGAGAGGGGGGGGGAGAGAGAGAGAGAGAGAGAGAGAGAGAGAAACATCGACGTGAGAGAGATGCATACACTGGTTGCCTCCTGCATGACCCCGACCAGGATTGGGGACAAACCACAACCGAGGTACATGCCCTTGTCCGGAATCGAACCTGAGACAATTTGGTCCGTGGGCTGACGCTCTAACTGCTTAGCCAAAAGGGCCAGGGCTGTTTTGTTTACATTTAAAGGTGCCAGACACCAAACAAAAGCTGTTTTTTCACAGTGTGCTGATCAAAGGGAAGGTGTTCTCAGTGCTTATTGTATAAACACACTAAATGTGCTCAGAGCAGCAGAAGACTGAAGTAGGTCCCTTTCTCCTTGTCTGATAACTTGTAAACTCAGTGCAATCAGGAAGATGCGCTTAATGTGAAGAGAAAGTAGTGACTGCAGTAACTGGAACCTGGTCTGGGTGCAGCAGAGGGGTGTAGAGGCATACTGCGGGTCCTTGCTGAGGGGGGAGCATCCGGGATGGGCGGAAGGGTTTTTGTGCTGCCAGCTCCCCTGCAGAGCTGGATGACTAGCACATGCCCCTTGCATGTAATTGTAGTGTGGGCTCTGGCAGGTGGTTGCTTGGAAAGTGGTGCTTGTGTTTACAGCGTATTATGTTCCTTTGCTCTAAAAATGGCAGATCTGTTAGATTAAGCTGCGTTGTAGCAAAGTTTCTTGTCTCAGAAGGTAATATTCTCACAGGGGAACCAGAGGTAGGGTAGGGCTGCTTTGCACCCGCATTTCTTGGCCTCGAAGCAGCATCTTGGGTGGTCTGAGATGTGGCTGCCCTCAGTCTGGTGTCCTGAACCACCTTCACCGCCCCTTAGGGAAGAGGCATATTGGTCTCCACTGCCTCCCCGCTGCCGGTCCTTTCTCGTTTCTCCTCTGCCCCGTGTGCTTCTCCGCAGCTTCTTCATTAACACTTTCTGCCTTGTTTTGTCTCTGGCAGACATCAACCTGAATTCTCCTAACAAAGGTCTGCTGTCCGACTCCATGACAGATGTCCCTGTCGACACGGCAGTGGCTGCCCAGACGCCTGCTGTGGAGGGTCTGACGGAAGCTGAGGAGGAGGAGCTCAGGGCCGAGCTCACAAAGGTGCTGTGTCTGGCTGGCTGCCTTGGGGTGGCTGTTAGCAGAGGCCTCTCTGGCTGCTGAGGAGCCAGAGTGTGCTGGCTGTGCTCTGAAGAAATTGGAGGTCGTCCCTGAGGCCCCACAGAAACTGCTTCTACAGCCCTGGCTGTGTGTGCGCCCGGCCCCTTGTGGGTGCTCCAAGAGAAGAGTGTCCACACGAGGACAGCTGCTCTTAGCACACCATCTGCTGGGAGCTTCTCTGTTGGAGTTAACACCTGACATTTTCAAGACCCCACAATGTTACTGTCTCTGGTTCTTAATTTCACTTCCTTTTTTCTTTTTAATCCTCACCTGAGGACACTTTTCCATTTTTGTTCAGATAGAGTGGGAGGGAGAGAGAGAGAGAGACATCGATTTGAAAGGGACACATCAAGTGGCTGCCTCCCGCACAACCCAACCAGGGCCAGGGACAAATTGCAACCGAGGTACGTGCCCGTAGTGGGAACCGAACCCAGAATTCTCTGGTCCTTGGGCTGACGCTCTAATCGCTGAGCCAAACTAGCCAGGGCTCCAATGCTATTTTTCCATTTATCTTCAGATAGAGTAGAAGGGAGAGAGAGAGAAACATCAGTGTGAGAGAGACACATCAATTGATTGCCACCCGCGGGGCCACCCAACTGGGGCCGGGGTCAAACCTAGGACTCTTCGGTCCAAAGGCCGACGCTCTAACTGCTGAGCCAAACCGGCCACGGTTCAGGTGAGGAATTTTTTTTAAAATTTATTTTAGATATAAAGGAAGGGAGAGGGAGAACGAGATAGACACATGGATGAGAGAGAACATTGATTGGCCGCCTCCTGGGGATTTGGCCCACAACCTAGGCTTATGCCCTGACTGGGAATTGAACCAGCGACCTCTTGTTGCAGGGTCGACTCTCAACCACTGAGCCACACCAGCCAGGCTTGGGTGAGGATTTTTTTTTTAATTCTCACCTGAGGACTTCTTTTTTTTTTTTTTGCATTTATCTTCAGATAGAGTGGGAAGTAGAGAGGGAGGAAGAGAGAGAGAGAAACATCAATGTGAGAGGGACACATTGATTGGCTGCCACCCACATGACACCAACCGGGGCTGGGGACAAACTGCAACCGCGGTACGTGCACTTAGTGGCAACCAAAACCGGGCCTTTCTGGTCTGCAGGCCAGTGCTCCAACTGCTGAGCCAAACCGGCCTGGGCAGGGTGAGGATTTTTAAAAAGTAAGTAAATAAAAATGAAAGTCCCTGAGGAGGAAATGGGAGTTAAAACAAAAGCTTCCAAGTTTAATTTTTATTCAAAGCAACTGCCAAGAGTGTTTCTTTGTTTAGATCATATGTTTTTATTGATTTCAGAGAAAGGGAGAGAGATAGAAACATCCATGAGAGAGAACATCGACTGGCTGCCTCCTGCATGCCCCCTACTGGGGATCGAGCCCACAACCTGGGCATGTGCCCTGACCTGGAATTGAGCTGGCAGCCTCCTGGTGCAGGAACAGCGCTTAACCACTGAGCCACACCAGCCAGGCAGGAGTGTTTCCTTTACTGGGTGATTGCAGAGTCTAATAGTGACTCAGATGAGATTCCAGAGTTTGGGGAAGTGAGCTTGTTAATGTCTGACGGTGTTGTGCACAGGCAGAGGCTGAAGCTCTGCTCGTCACAGGCCTCTGTCTCCAGAGACGAGCCTCTTCTCAATGCCCTGGGTCTAGTCCTGGGTCTGAACTGAACAACGGTTGAAAGAGAAGCAGCGAGCAGTCCAAGGACATGGATGTTTTGCTTTTTATTTCAATATGTTGGTCTTGAGACTAAAACCACAGAGTCTTTTCAGAGTTGGATTGCAGAGTGGAGCCTCTCTTGGTCACTTAGAACTTTCAACTTGCCTGTCCTAGGACCACTCAACCCCATGCCCTGGACCTGTCAGTCATCCCACCAGGAGTGGGTGCTCTGGTCACTGGTTACAACTGCTTGAGTGACTGGGAATAGTTTGGCCTTAGACGAGACAGTGTGTTTTAGATTACTTCTTGTTTCAACTGTTTTCTAAAGCAGAATCTAGGGGCATATAGGGCTCTAAGCTGTTTTTAGTGTCTTAAGCAAACAGGCAGTTTTTAAAGAAAGGGGCTTTTTTAGAATAGCTGTTCAGGCAGGAGCTGGGATGCTGAGAGTCTGAAACAGTGAGGCTCTGGTGGATACTTCCTTCCAGTGTCACTTTCCCTTTCTTTTTAAGACCTGAGGAAGTCCAGGGCCCAACTTGGACTACCTTGAACACAGAAACACTTGTACTTTTGGCTTGTGTAACTGGCTTCTGCCAGGGCCAGGAGCTGGCCTCAGGAATACAGATGTTGTCATAAGGGCTATTTCTCTATCACCTGGGTCTCTGGCCATCTGTCTGTCTGTCAGCTCCGCTTCCTTCCTGCTGCGTGCGGAGGTCTCCCTGGTGCAGGTGGGCTGGCTGCCAGGCGTTCCAGCTTCTGCTCTCCCCGCTCAGATTCAGGGCCCAGAGCAAAGGGGCCTCCCTCCTGCCCAGGCCGCTCCTGGGGCAGAGCTCCGGCAGGCCTCGTGGAGTCGTCCACAGACAGGCATGGTGGTCGTAGCCCCAGCAGAACCCTTTCTTGTGGGTCAAGACAGTTCTGCAGAAGTTGGGGTGCTGGTACGCTGTGGACACTGTTTCTGAGACGAGTTGTGTCTCTGTGAGTGGACAGTTCTTTTTTTTTGGTACGTTCCCCTAGCGGAAACTGAACCCAGGACTCTCTGGTCCGCAGGCTGATGCTCTAACCATTGAGCCAAACTGGCCAGGGCTGTGAGTGGACAGTTCTTACATAACTCAGGAACCTCACTGCATTTGGTAAGGATGTCAGTCACTGCTGCAGCAGCGTAGCTAATTGTGTCAACTGTGTGCTCCTGCAGGTGGAGGAGGAGATTGTCACTCTGCGCCAGGTCCTGGCAGCCAAGGAGCGGCACTGTGGGGAGCTGCGGCGGAAGCTGGGCCTCTCCGCCTTGGAGGGCCTGAAGCAGAACCTGTCCCGGAGCTGGCACGATGTGCAGGTCTCTAGCGCGTAGGTACCTGCTCTGCGGCCGGGCGCCTGGTGGTCGAAGAGTGTCATGGTGTGTGCCTCTGCCTGTCGATGGGGTGTCAGTTCTTGGGGATGAGGCGCCTCGCAGGGACGGGGATCAGATGTGCCTGTTTGGAAACAGCCAGCCAGGGGCCTTTTGCCCTTGACCTAGCCGTGGTGCTCGCATGTGCTCGCAGAGCTCCGAGTCTGCATGTATTGTGCAAGGTGGGTGGACACAGCCAGTTGTCTAAGTGGAAATCGACAAAAATATGTTTTCGGTCCGGATTTGAGAGAACGCTAGTCAGGCCCTGGATGAGACTGATTCCTGTGGTGCCAGAGCTGAGTGTTTGCTCACGTAGACGTGAGTCTCCATGCGTGTGCTATGTCACAGCCCCAGGACCGCTGTACCGGACATGACTCAGCTGGGAACGTGGACAGTGCAGCTGTGTGGCTCCCCTGCAACGGACCCTCCGGGGGTGGGACGTATCCCCGCTGAAAGGCAGACTCAGTCCCATTTCATAAACCCCACCTGGGAAAAGCCCGTTTCTGTCATAGGGAGTCCTAGGTTCTGATCTCGAAGGATGACTGTCAGAAGTGTTTTGGGGCCACAGGCTGTGCCCTTCGTGCCCCTCACAGCACTGTTCCCCAAGAGCCATCTTACACTGAATGACCCAGGCACTCCCTCGGCTGACAGGAAAGGACGGGCGGGCTGCAGGCTCCGTGCTCCTGCCCTTGGTCCTCCTCCATTCTCCCTGGAATTTCACCTGCAGTTTGAAACCTGAGTTGAAATAGTTTTTCTAAATAATTTACCAGAGACTTTCTGTTTTTAGCTATGTGAAAACTTCTGAGAAACTCGGAGAGTGGAATGAGAGAATGACCCAGTCGGACCTGTGAGTGCCTTTGCGTCAGCACCTCCCCCCTCCTCCTGACACGCCTCTTAGGGTCAGCAGGTCGCGTGCGCATGGCGCAGACCTTATGGCGATGTTTCCCGCTCTTCTATTTTCCGTGTAGCTTTTCCTCTCCGGCACAAATGAAGCTTTCTTCCCACCCACACAGCCACCAGCGCACACTGAGCGCTCTCTGTGCCCCGTACAGAAGCGGCTGGGGCTGGGCCCGCAGCATCCCTGCTCGCAGACAGCTGCTCCTGGGCTTGCCGAGTGGGCAGGCGGCCGAGGGCCCTGTGGCGAATGCAGATGGTGGGCCCTGCTTCCTTCCCCTGTAGACCAGCCCCAGCTGCTGGGTCCCGAGAGCTGCACTAGGACTCGGGTTCCTTGAGTTGAGGGGCGTGCAGGTCGTGCCTGTGGGATCCTAAAGGAGTCCTCTTGGTCAGAGAGGCACTGAGCTGTCAGCCACACAGAACTGACATACAGAATACCCAGCAGAGCTGTGGTTGAGAATCACTGTGATGTTGTCTCTGACATTTATCTATCCTACAACCTGGTTGTAACTCTTCAAACCTTGTGAGGCAATGTTTAAAAACAGTCACTTGCTGGGGCTTTTCTGTCTCTGGTGTGGAAGGAAGCGCTGTCTTGGTTGCCAGCAGAAAGCCCCTCCGTGCTGGGCTGAAAGGAAATGGTTGTTGCCCGGCTTATTGGAAAGGAGCCTGGGACTCGGGTTGGCGAGCTGCGTGTGGGGCCTTTGCAGCCGGGTGTCGCCAGGGGCTCTGGCAGTTCACGTTCTGTGCTGTCTCTGCACTTGGACAGACAGCCAGTGCCGTGGCAGTGGGCACTGTAGGGCACGGTGGTGTTAGGTGCTGCCCATAGGTCGACTCAGTGGCTGTTATCAGGCCACTCATGGTGCAGACTTCATCCGAAAACAGCTGTTGGAGACTTTAGTGCTGTCCTGTAAAACCAGCCATGTACCCTTTCCTATAACTGGTCCTGACTCCTGAGAAGCCTGTGGCTCTGGGCGTGGAAGCTGTGGCCAGCAGCGTGGCCTCCCCTGCGCTTCACCTGGTGGTGGCTGCTCCCCAAGGCCTCACTCCTCTTAGTTGGAAAGTTGTTGGAGTGCTGCTTCCAGACTGGGCACTTCCGCAGTGACCCCAGGAGGAGGGCCACACAGCCCCGGGTGGGGTGGCTGTCTCGGGAAAGGAGCCCTGGGGTGCCCCAGGTGTCACTGCAGGATGGCTGGTGGAGTGTCCAGAGGGGCAAACACAATGGGGTGAGCCTGTCTCCCTAACTGTGGATCTACAAGTCCCTGCCAGCTGGCAGCATGCTGGGGGACTGGGGTCTACCCTGGTGCTCAGCGCCCGCGCGTCTGCAGAAGACAGCAGTGTCGAGGCTGCCGGCCCGTCTCATGCTGCTGCTGCTGCTGTTGGCGTGGGCGCTCGCTTCAGCGCAGCCGGGTCCCAGTGACGGAAACGGTCACCGTTGGGTTCTTCCTGTAGGTAGGTCTCGGCTGAAGCCGCCCGGAGCGGGCACCTGGGGAATCTAGTCCCTGGCTGACTCGGTGCAGTCACCACGTCGAGTCTCTGGTTGTGGGTGACAGAAAGCACAGCTAAAGTTGGTGTCTGCCTAGAGGGCAGGAGGTCTTTCCTGCAGAGGAGCCCTGCTCCAGGCCGCCGACCAGGGCTCCCAGGGAGCGCGGGGGCCTCCGGCTCTCCCCACAGTGCCTTGTTCCCAGCTCCTCCTCTGTGGTGCGAGGGGCACCCAGCAACAGGGGGGCCCAGTGGGGGTCTCATTGGACTCTTGCTGTGGTCAGGAGTGGGGAACCTATCAGCCAGACCGGGACCATGTGCTCATCTGAGTAGGGGGTGGGGCAGCCCTGAGGGAAGGTGCAGGAGAAGGTGCCTCTGGCAGATGCCCCAGAGGAGGCTGGCATTTCTCAGGACTCCACGCCTGTGTCTCCTGAGAGGTGAAGTGATGCCCACAGCAGCGTTGGTGGCATTGACCGTGCTCAGCATGGCAGGGCCTACTTACCCAGATGCATTGGCTCTGCCCCCAGGGCTGTTGCCATCTCAACGTGGCCTGTGTACCTGCCTCACTTTGGAGGTTCCTGGAGCAGTCATTGTTGACACCTGTTTGTACGCCCCAGAAATGCAGAGGGCTGTGGAGGGCAGGGAAATTGCCTCCTGTTGGTGTCTGGCAGGGTGCTGCCCTTGGAGTCGCCCACAGGACGCGCCTGCCCATCACCAGGGCCCCACGGCACAGGCTCTTGGACATTCACTTTCCTACCTTGGCCACGTGTGCACATACAGGTTCTGTCAGGCTCCTCCTTTGACCCTCTGCCTGCTGCAGACTGTTTCCATCAACACGCCTCGGGTGGTAGCAGGTCTTTGTACCTGTCATTTCAGAGACAGCTGGCTTGACGCTGGGTTCTGGATTTGTGTTTCTGAAGGAAGGGCGATGTATGCTTGGTCCCCTTGTGTCTGGTGCTTTATTGTGAACATCCTAGGCTCCAGATGCACAGAAGTCTGTGTCTCACAGACGATCTTAACTCCCTTTGAGATGGAAGTGCTTCATCAGATGAGGCCTTGGGTTGGGAGCTGGACCCCAGGAGGTTTCGGAGCCTTTCCTCAGCAGGCTCTGCTGGGAATGCGCTGCACACCTGCCGCAAGTGCCCCTTCACCTTGACTGCCCCCTGCTGGACCCTGAGACAGGCCGGCCTGGGTGTGGTGTGGGTGCTGCTCCAGGTAAGCAGTCCGGTTCGAGGGTCACAGCAGAAACGGAGCCAGTGTGGGCAGGCTGAGTGCCCTGGAGCCGGCCTGAGGGAAGAGGGCAGCAGCGTGGAGGGGAAGGGCGCAGCAGAGCCAGTGCAGGCTGGTATCTCGAGAGCCCAGCCGTCTCCAGCTGTTATTTTCTCAGGGTCACCAGATTGGCCAGAAAGGGGCGCTTGGGGTCAGGCTGCTGTGACTGGTTTGTGGGAGCTGCTGGATGAGGGCTGGCGGCTCCGGGCATTAGCTCTTGAGGTCAGCCCAGTGGTGTTCTTGCTGTGAGCCAGGACCACCCCTGGAACTGAGACTGGTGGAATGAGGTGGAGGTTCCCCTGGTTCTGAAAGGTCAGCCGGCGGGAGAGGCCCAGGCTTCACATAGGTGATGGTGGACTGCGAGGGCAGTCTCACAGGGGACAGCAGGGGAGCCCAGAGGACGCTTCTAGCTTCTGCCCCAGACCTAGGGCTCTGCAGCGCCAGGTGCTCCTCCCGAGTCAGAGTCGCCGTGAGAAGACAAGAAAGCGGGATGATGGAGTTCCGGGCGGGGGCGCCACTGAGTCTCAGTGAGATCAGAAGTGCTGCTGCTGCCCCCTGGGCCCCGGAGTGTGGGCTCCTGGCTCTCCGTGGTGCTCAGGCCAGCGCTTACCACTCACTCCTCAGTGCTGTCCAGGCACTTTATGTCCTTGGCTGTGGGTGGTGGTGCCCCTTGTGTTTGGTTGGTTTAACTGTGTATCTTTCTTCAGCTACAAGAAGACTCAGGAAACTCTCTCTCAGGCGGGACAGAAGACCTCTGCTGCCCTCTCCACTGTGGGCTCTGCCATCAGCAGGAGACTCGGGGATATGAGGTGAGACCACCTGCCCCAACCCCTCCACCCTGAGGCCTGGGCCAGTCAGCTGAGGTTTGCAGGATTTCGAGCTTAGGGCAGCGGTTCTCAGCCTGTGGGTCATGACCCCCTTGGGGGTTGAACGACCCTTTTACAGGGGTCGCCTAAGACATAACAGTAGCAAAATTACAGTTATGAAGTAGCAACAAAAATAATTTTATTTAGGGCAGCGGCTCTCAGCCTGTGGTGACCCCCAATACGAGGAGCTGTATTGAAGGGCCGCAGCATTAGGAAGGTTGAGAACCACTGTGGGCGTAATGAGTCTTGTTTGAGATCAGATGGGACGCCGCTGGCCTGCTGCACTCTGGGCACCTGCTTTGGCCATCTGAGCCGAGCTGTGGTGAGTTCGGTGACACTGATCAAGCCGCAGGGGGCTGGCCTGGCTCCTGGGGATGGCCGAGGCAGTGGCCTGCCCAGCGGCACACGTGAGCAGCGGGTCGCGTTGCGTTGCTCCTCCCTCTCCTGCTGGCGCGATGACAGCACTGGGGGAGCAGGTGTCTGCTGTGCTGCATGCGCCCTCCCGGCAGTGTGCCCGCCGGGCTCTCATGTGAGTGGGCTTGGCATCTGGATGAAGCTGGGTGGGGAGAGCAGGGACCTGGCACAGAGGGCAGGGCCACTTCCGCGGGCAGCTCTGCACAGTCTGCTGCTCTGGGAGGACTGACGGTCCATCTGTCTGCTCAGAATAGTGGGATTTGTGGCTGACTGTGGTGTGGCCAGCAGTGAGCAGGTTCCTGTCACCACGACCCTGGGCTGGCTCTGCACGTGCCTGGTGCCCTGCGCCGGCCCTGCCCGCAGTGTGCACATGGGCTGGGCCTGTCTGCTGCTGGTCTCCCCTGGGGACTCCGATCTCTCAGGGTCCTTGATGGGTCCAGCTGTCTCACCGTGTGGCCTCAAGTAGTCGAGGTTGTGGCCCACTGACTTCCACAGGTCAGAGTTGTAGGTAGCAGGTTCACCACTTCTTGAGTGAAAGTCGGGTTCAGGAAGGTTCACGCCACGAGTGTAGGGCTGGGCGGCCCCTGAGGGGTCGCTGCATCGAGATGTCTGGGGTCAGGTCCTTCAGGACAGCCGCCCATGCTGGAGTCCACCGCGCCTGTCGGGGGCAGCCCTGGCCTGGCCTGAGAAGCCTTCTGCGTACCCTGAGGTGTGAGGTGGGGGTGGGGGAAGAGACTGGATTTGGGTCTAGTCTCTACCTTCTCTGACCCTAGCCCCCCCTCCCCCCCATGTTGTGGTCACCTCCACAGTGTTGGAGGAGGTGGCCATGTCCCTCTTATGCCCCATCTTTGGACACATGCTCGTTTCTGGGATGGCTTTTGTCATCTGTGGAGATGGAGCCGGAGCGCAATGGACTCAGCCCTGAAGGTGCCCAAGTCCTGTTGAAGTGTGTGCTTCCGTGTGCTTGTGTGTGTGCACACGTGTGTGCAGTGTGTAGGCCGGTCTGGTGTGCAGTGTGTTAGCCAAGCGTGGCCAGCTCAGGTTCCAGGTGGTGGAGTCCACTGGGCCTGTCTCACACCTTCGCACTGCTCAGTTCTTCGGGGCCTCTTCCCTCCAGCCTCCAAACAGGCACGGACACACGGGTCCTCGTACGTGACCACACCCGGGATGGCGGAGCTGTGGGGCAGTCCTGTGCGTGAGGGAGCAGCAGCCTCCCGGTCGGGACTCGAGGAGATTGGAGGCGGAGGCGGGGCGCGCGTCCTGCCCTGCCAGGTGGTGTCAGGGCAAGAGGGTGGCCTGGAGCTGAGTGGAGGGCTGGCGGGCACTGGCCTCCTTCCTAACATGCGTTTCTTCTCTTCCCCTGCTGCCACCTGTCAGGGCTCGTCCATTCTCACACTCCTTTAGGTAAGGCTCCTCTGCTTCAGGGCGGGGGACTCTGCCAGCCTGTGGGAGGCTGTGCTGGGTGCAGGTGGTGAGGGGCCATGAGCTGCCCGACCTGGCCCTGTCCCCCACAGCGAGGCCAGCGCTGCGCATCAGAGCACACCATGGCTGCTCAATCTGTGGTCCCTGTGGGTCGTCACCAGCCGTATGGTCGATGCAGGGACGCCTCCCCAGCAACGTGTCGTTACCTGTGCGCTGTTGCCGGCCTCTCTGACCTGCCCATGGAGCATGTCCATCTAAGTGCACCCCTGAGTTCATTCCCCAAAAGAGCCGTGTTGATGCAGGAGGGTCTTGCTGGCCCAGACTGTCTGCTCTGCATCTCCCTCCTGAGAGGCGGTGCGCCCCCAGGCAGAGTCTCCCCCTCTGCAGCTCTGCAGCTCTTTCTGCACCAGCACCAAAGTCCCGGTCGCTGGTTGGTGCCTCTCCAGACACCAGAACTGTAGTCACACACTTCTCTGAACCCAAATCCACAATAGCGTGGCTTTAAGTGGTCATTTCTTACGTAACTCGGTTGTTTCTCTTTTTTTTTAAAAGTCCTTTAACTTGCCCAGCCGGTGTGGCTCAGTGGTTGAGCATCGACCCTGTACCAAGAGGTCGCCAGTTTGATTCCCGGTCAGGGCACGTGCCCAGATTGTGGGACCGATCCCCAGTGGGGGGCATGCAGGAGGCGGCCAATCGATGTTTCTCTCTCTCCCTCTTCCTTCATCTTTCTAAAATCAATAGAGAGAAAAAAAAATTTTTTAAGTCTTTTTACTTGCTGTAGAGTCAGTTAAGGACATCTGACGGCCATTTGTTCCATAGCCTTTCTGAAGCCCAGACCAGGTCTCCCTCAGCAATGTCACATTTCTGGGGTGGCTTTGGAGGCGGGAGAGGAGCCGCAGTTCCAGTTTTCCTCCTGCTGTGGGGCTTCGGGGGGCTTCCTCGTGCTGGGGGTGGGGTTCTGGTGCCCGCTGCAGAGTTAAGTTTCTCCATGATCCGAGGTCTCCCTCACCTTAACTCTTGCCTGCTTCTCTGCTTTTACCATGCTTCCAAGTAGCAGCTACTCCATCCGCCACTCGATAAGTATGCCAGCCATGAGGTAATGTATGCTTGTGCCCCAGAGCTCCCAGAACCGAGCAGGGCCGGGTGGGAGCAGGTGGCCTCCCAGACCTCTGAACAAGGCCACCTTCCCCTGGCAGCCTCCTGTCAGATACGGGTTAGAAATGACCCCTCCTAGGCCAAAGAGCTAGTCGGGGTGAGGCTCGAGGACACCAGTGTGCCAGACTGGGCTCCATCTGGAACTTTCCCAGACTGCCTGCAGGGTTGGGCTAGGGAGGGGCAGAGAGGCTCCCACACATACCTGGCACCCAAGAGGCTGCAGGCATCTCTGAGCCTTTTACAAAGACTGTTGTATCTGTTCTGTGGCCGGTTTTCTCCTGCTGGCTCTGCACTGCAGCCTTGGCTCTCAGTGGAGCCCTGTCCTCCTTACAGACTAGCAGCAGCTGCCACACCACAAAGCTGCTAGGAGCCCTTGATGGGCAGGGGGGCTGCAAGAGCCAGGGGCAGGCTGGGGGGGTGGGGGCTGCAGGAGCCAGGGGCAGGGAGGGTTTGGCTGTGTAGGGATGCTGGGGGGGGGGGGGTTGGGGCTGTTTGCTCCTCTTGCCTCCTCACTCTTGTCCCAGAATGCCTCGGTTTTTCTGTTGGCTTTATTCTAAGAAATTTGTGTGAAGCACATGCATGACTTTTCCTAACCCCAACACAGGTGCTTTTAGGGTGTAGTATAAGTGTGCCCCATGTCCACCCGCTTCCCAGGCAAGGGGTCTACAGCTCACCCGCGTGAAGTCTGGGTCTCACCAGCTGGTGGCATGCAGGTCTGTCCCTGTGGCTGACCTCTGGATTGACCTTGGCAGGGTTCTCTACAGGGGGTGCCCCACCCCTTCTTTTGTCGAGTCCTGTCTTTGCAGTGAGCCCTCAGGATGCTGTCAGGGATCTTTCCAGAAGATGACCCTAATTCTGGGGTCCTTCAAGTTCAGGGGCAGCATAGCTGTGGGCTCCTCATGCTGATGTCAGTCCCTCTCTCTCTAAAGGAATTCTGCCACCTTCAAGTCGTTGGAGGACCGCGTTGGGACCATAAAGGTAACTGCCTGGATCAATGATGGGCGTAGCTGTTGCTTAGGTAGACTGACTTAATCGCTGTGGATTAATATGCAGTTCTAGGAGCTAACAGAGAGACCTGTGCCTTTTACAGTCTCCCCGAGGTGACATTGTAGTGTCAGTGGGCACAGTCAGGGTAGAGAGCAGTCCATCCCCACAGAGATTCTTCACGGTGCCCACCTTCTGCCTGCCTTGCCCCGGCATCCACTGATCTCTTCTCCATTTCCATAATTTTGTAATCTGAGAAAGTTGTAAATGGAACCCTACAGTGTGTAGCCTTTGGGATTGGCCCTTTCCACTCTGCATCATTCCCTGGAGATACGTCCAGCCTGTTGCCCATGTTGGTGGTTCATTCCCTATTTTCACTAAGCAGTGTTCACATTTGTCAAGTTGGTAGAGACATGAACACCATGACTTCCTGGCAGGTCTGGGGTCTGCCTGGCACTGTGGGCTCTGTCTCAGGTGTTTCTTCCGGTCTCCCCATATGCAGTCTAAGGTGGTGGGTGGCCGAGAGAACGGCGGTGACAGCTTTCCCTCCCCGGCGGGGAGTGACGACAAGCCCCTGCCCGACCACACGCCCTTCTAAGCCTGAAGCAGCTTTGCCGCCACGGAGCAAGCGCAGGCACGCCTCATCGCCAGACTGCCACTGCGCAACGGAGCAGCAGCGCCTGCAGGGGCGGGAGCGGCTGCGGGGGCAGCCCTGCCATCACATGCACGCGTGGCTGCTGCACGCGCATGACTCAGAACAGTCTTGTACACAGATGCTTCACACTAAGTCGGTAGATGCAACAGGTCGCTCTGCTGCCCGTCCTGGGGCAGGAAGTAGATGGGGTGGGGGCGGAGCCACACTCCCTTTGGGGGTCTTGTTAATTCACCAGAATGCAAGTGGTGTTTTCCCAGCTCCTTCCCTTCCTCACAGAGGGAGTGTCTTCCAGAAGCCCCATCTGACCTGCAGTTTTTATTTCAAAATGCTAAACAAGAAAAGTCTATTTTCTGAGACCCTCTGAAAAGAAACCGATTATCAGCAGCTGCCTAATTGTTACACTAATGATCTAGCTTTAACAAAAGCAGATCTTTTATTTTTTAAATGCAGTGGGTTTTTCAAAATTCAGAATTTAGCAAAGCAGCTTTAGCTTCATAGTTACAACATATTATTTGCTTGGACTCAAGCTGAAATACAAGCCTTATATCACCTGATGCTTTATTTGTTTATAATGTTTTTGTATATAAAAGTGAGTGTTCTTTAGTGGGTTCCAAGCACTACACAGAATTCTGCATCTAACCGAGGGGCCGCATGCCTGCACCAGTGGTGTGTTTCGTTTCTCTGACGCACTCATCCCAGTGGATGGACCTGGCTCTCTCCTCTCCAGGACCAAAGGCTCCGGGGCCTGTGGGGGTGGGTGCAGGAGAAAGGAAGAACCAGCCCTGCAGCTGCCTTGTGTGGGCCAGGCCGGGCCAGGCCCCGGCACACTGCTGTCAGAGGCCCCGCTATCTGTCTGCTGCACACCCAGGACGTGAGGAGCACGTGGACCCCGCAGAGCAGGTCAGGGCTGGGTTGGGGTCAGCTGGACCTCTGCTGTTGCCTTTTCTCAGGAGCTACAAAGATCTCTCCTATTTTGAAGCTGCCACACTCCAGCAGCCTCACCCAGGGCCCCAGGTGTCGGGTGTGTCTAGAGGGGCAGCTTGTGCCTTAAGGGCTCTGAGTGGGCGCAGACCTTGCCTGCCCGTGATCTGTGCACCCCCTGGGGGAGGAGCCTGCAGGCCAGTGACTGCTTTCGTAGGCTGTGCTGTGCTCTGGTACCTGAGTGTCTGCTGGTCACTTCAGACACCCTGGGGACTGCAGTTCACGCTGGTGTTCTTTCTCCAGAATTAGAATCTCAGACTCCTGGTAGGAGGCAGGGCTAGTACTGATTTGTCTTTTCTGTGAAGTAAATACTGGGTAATTTGTCAATAAAGCATTGTTTTGGGGGAAACGAACCCCAGCTGTGTGGTGTGTTTACTTCATTCAGTAAGGTGACGAAAGCAGTAAGCCAGCGGGCCGGGCTCCTGTCATCAGGGGCCTGCACCCTAGAGGGGCTGGGAGGAAGTACAAATGTAAATCTTCGATGCTATGAAGACAATCCAGCAACTGAGAGACTATAAAGGTGACACACCTGTGGGTTCCCGAGGAGGAGGCATGGAAGCTAAGGAGCCAGCCAGGCTACAGATTGGGTCAGCCGAGCTGCAGGAGGTGAGCAGGCAGCCAGGTTTGCCCCATGGCCTGAGGCAAGAACCACTTGGGAGTCCCCATGCATCCAGCTGCCCTCACCACAGCTGGTGCAGAGCAAGGCTCCCTGGGGCAAATGCGGGAGCTCACTGAGCAGGGAGCCAGCTGTTGATCCATCTTCACGTCCCCCCCTTGAGCTGGAATCCCCTGAAGGTAAAGACAGGACGTGACAGTCCAGAAAAGGTGAGTGGAGCAGACATGAACTGAGGGCACAGGGCAGGCTCTGGAGTCTGTTGGGTTGACAAACAGCTGCCGTGGCAGGCCTGCCTCTGATGGGGACTGTTGAGTGATTCAGATTGCAAAGCGTGCTCAAAAATCCACCTGTTTCCCGCCCATCCCCCACCCAGCCTCTGTGCCTAGTACTTGTTCATCCAGTGTTTCTTCATGCAGAAACAAGCAACTATGAATGTATATTCTCATGCCCTCCTCCTTGCCCCCAAGATGCCACACTGTCATTGCTATGCCCTGGCGTGCTAGGTGCACCCACCCCCGAGGTCTTTGTAAGACAGCCTCCATTCCTGACATATTGGGTGTTCACAGTAGGAAACCTCTACTGGGAGCATCGGACTTCCTTTGGAATCAGCCTGGTTTGCCCCAGGTGTAGCAGAAGTCGGTGACTTCAATTGTCCAGTAATCCCCATGACAGTCCATCACAGCAGTGAGCTGGTGCAGAGTGGGGAGCACCACGGCTGCCAGCAGTCAGCCCTCACCCTCACTTATGTTGGAAATAGGTCTCAATTAGTCTTTGTTAAATATTTAAGTGGCATGGCCTGGGGGTAACAGTCTGCTTTTGTGGGGTACAAGTGTGCATTTCACATGGACCCAGCCCTCAAGGGCTTTGCACTTCATTTGTTGAAGACAGGGTGTTTCCCTAGAAAACTGACTTGTGTGACATGAGCTTGGAGACAGTATTGGGGCAGGTGGAGCCAAGGGCTCCACAGACGCCTTGAAGGGAAGCAGATCTATTTCTCCAGGTGAGAACAGTAGGGTCCGCCTCACCCAGTTAAAGGGCATGTGGAGCACAGGGCCTGACTGTAGCCACTACCTGCATCTGGCAGGTAACCTTCCAGTCTTATGTTCTCTGAACAGGTAGGCTTGTTTACAGAAAAGGTTGTTTTTTTTTTTTAAATTGATTTTTAGAGAGCCCTTGCTAGTTTGGCTCAGCAGTTAGAGCATCAGCCCACAGACCAGAGGGGTCTCAGTTTTGATTCCTGGTCAAGGGCATGTACCTAGGTTGCAGGTTCTATCCCCAGCCCCGGTTGGGGTCGTGCAGGAGGCAACCATTCAATGTATCTCACATCAATGTTTCTCCCTCCCTCCCTCCCACTCTATCTGAAAATAAATCAATGGGAAAATATCCTTGGGTGAGGATTTAAAACAAAAAAATAAACATACTTGTAAAAATGTACTTTTTGTTTTTATCCTCACCCGAGGACATTTTTCCATTTTCTGTTCAGACAGAGTGGGAGAGGAGAGAGAAACATCGACACGAAAGGTACACATCGAGTGGCTGCCACCCGCACGACCCAACCAGGGCCGGGGACAAACTGCAACTGAGGTACACGCCCTTAGCGGGAACTGAACCGGGGTCTCTCTGGACCACAGGCTGATGCTCTAACCACTGACCCAAACCGGCCAGAACAAAATGTACTTTTTATATATCACATATCTTGCTCATTTTACTTTCAAGAGGTATCATAGGAATTGTCTATGTTATGTAGCCTTTTATGTCTTTTTTTTTTTGGTTAATCCTCACCCAAGGATATATTTTTTTCCATTGATTTTTAGAGAAAATGGAAAAAAGGGAGGGAAGGGGGGAGAGAGGGAGAAACATTGATGTGAGAGAGACACATGGATTGCTTGCCTCCTGTATATGCTCTGACTGGGGCTGGGGAACAAACCCACAACCCAGGTTCCCGCCCTTGAGTGGGAATCAAACCTGCGACCCACTGGTGCCCAGGCTGGTACTCCAACCACTGAGTGACACCAGCCTGGGCTGTGTCCATTATTTTATAAAACAGTTTTTCTTTATTGATTTGAGAGAGAGAGGAAGGGAGAGGGAGAGATAGAAACATCGATGAGAGAGAACATTGATTGGCTACCTCCTGCATGCCCCGCACTGGGGATTGGGCCCACAACCTGGGCGTGTGCCCGGACTGGGAATCGAACCGGCAACTTCTAGGTGCATGAATCGACTCTCAACCAGTGAGCCATGCTGGCCAGGCCATTTTTAATAACTACACTATTTTATTTGAGTGTACCCGTACAGTAGGTAGGTTTTCATTTTCACTATTCTAAATAACACCATCAAAAGCAACCCAATGCATACACCTTTTTCTCTATTGGGGGATGTTTTCTTAGGAAAAATGTCCCTACATCGGAACTGCTAGGTGAGGGAGGGACTCACTAAGGCTTGGTTCATTCATTCTTGCTGCTCCCAACACAGATAAATACAGTTGCAATCTGAAATTGGTACCAGGTCCATTTTGTTCCCTCGTTACTCCTATGATTCTGGTCGGAAATCTGTCATCCTCTTGAATCAACAGACGTATATATATCAATCTGGCCTTTCTGCTTCTTGGTTTTTGTGGGCCTTTTCTTGCTGCCTGCTTGATGTTGCACAAAGTAATGACTGCCAGGAGACGTCCTGAGCTCTCTGCCACTTACAGGCCCTGAACCTGTGGCAAACTGGTCGGTTCAAGGTCAGCATAATGGCCAAATGCTCTCAGAGAGCAGAGGCAGACGGGGCAGAGCTTGTTGGCAAAGTTTGGATTTTACTCAGTGTGTCATAGAAAGCTTTGGATGTCACCAGGTTTCTGCGTGGAAAGTGGCCAGTGGGGCGAGAGCAGAGGTGGAGACAGGCACGCTGACCAGGAAGATGTTTGGGTGGCTTCTAGGGCGACGGGGCAATACCGGTGTACAGGGCACAGGCAGGCACGCGACAAATGGCAGAACTGTTACACTCACAGGTAGTCTAGATTGGGAAGGGTGACAGCAGGGGTCGCACCTGGCCAGGGAGGGAAGTGCGTGGAAGTTGGTTCTCCTTCCCTTCCACCGCGTTGTTGGTGGGTGATTCTGGGAGGGTGGCTGAAGGACGGCAGGGGCACGATGGTTGAGCGGGAGGGAAGTGTCGTCTTGGCGCTCCAGCGACGAGCAAACGTCAGTCTCACAGTGGCTGGGTGAGGGTGCGTAGGCCTCCGGCTTATCTCCCACCAGCTCTGTCTCCGGTTCTTTGACGAGGACAATTACGTTTTCTCCATCGTTCGTAAAGCGCTGAGCAAGCTCAGCAGCAAGACAAGTGCCCGCACCCTTTCTGTGCGGCTCGCGGCCTCGCTGCAGCACCTGCCGACCCACCTGCGAAACTAGGAGGCACTGCCTGGAGGCGGGCGCAGCCGGCCCCGGGAGCGAGCTCCGCCCACAGCGCCGGGGACTCCGCCCACGGGCGGGCACTCGGGACCCCGCCCCCGATGGGCGGGGCCTCCGCTTCGTGTTCTGGGCGCACGCGCGGCCGGCCCCGCCCGCGGCTACGAACCGGCCGAGCCCACGTCCTTCCGGGGACGCGCGCGCCAGTGCGGGTGCGTGCGTGAGCGTGCGTGAGCGTGCGCGTCCCCGCCGCTTCTGCCGGTGTTGCTCCCGCGCCCTCTGCCGCTGCCCCCGTCACCGCCGCCGCTGCCACCTCTGCCCGGGGTCCCCGAGGCGCAGCCCCGGCTGAGGAGCGCGTCGGCCGGCTGCTCCCAGCGCCGCGGAGCGGACAGCGGAGCCGCGGAGCCGGCGGGCGGGAGGACGGGCGCGCGGACAGGTGAGCTCGCGGCGGGCCCAGCGGCCTCCCGTCAGGCCGGGCGAGGGGGCGGCGGTGTGTGCGGGCCTCGGGGCGGGGGTCCACGGGATGTGCGGGCCTCGGGGCGGGGGTTCCACGGGATGTGCGGGCCTCGGGGCGGGGGTTCCACGGGGTGTGCGGGTCTCGGAGCGGGGGTTCCACGGGGTGTGCGGGCCTCGGGGCGGGGGGGCCCAGGGGGTGTGCGGCCCTCGGGGTGGGGGTTCCACGGGGTGTGCGGGTCTCGGGGCGGGTGGTCCACGGGATGTGCGGGGCCTGGGGGGGGCGGCGCACCGCAGCCGGAAATGGCGACGACCCTCCCTCGGGGCCGGGGCGCGGGCGGGCGGGCTGGGGAGCTTCCCGGGGGCGGGCTGCGGTGACGGAGCCGGCGGCCCGGCGCGCGCGGAAAGGTGTGCCTTCGTCCGGGTGGCCGCGCGGTGGTCTCGGGCCTGGGCAAAGCTTCCTGGTCCGTCCCGGTTCCGCCAGGTCGCGGCGCACGTAGCCGCCTCCGCCCCCCGCCCCCCGCCCCCCGCCGTCCCGGTGACCAGCTGGAGGGTCTTCCTTCGGGTGTGAGTGTCCGTTTCGGATTCCAGCTCCTGTGACCGGCCTGGGTTGAGGACTCCCTGTGTCGCTGCCTGAGTTGATTTCTGGGAATCCGCTCCGTGGTGTTATACCGGGAAAGGAAGCAGAAGTCTCCGTTTTGTTTCTGTCTCGGGTTTAGACTCGATCCGGCTATAACCAGCTGGTCATAGCTCATAGGTGTAGCGTCTGATCGTTAGACACGTCTGTCCTCACTTCGTTGCGCGTTTAAAAACCGTCTTGGTGACAAGAACATTCAATCAAGAATTGCCCCAACTATTGCTAGGATTGCATTGAAGTCTTGGGTTCATTCACTTGCTTCTCTCCTGCCGAAGGTTGTGATGAGTTTCGGGATTCAGTACCCTGTCATATGAGAGATGCAGTGAGGAGCCAGGACTTCGGGGCTTCGGGAAACTTTATAATTGAGTGTGTGTGGTTTTCCCTTCAGCTCGGTGAGGGCTGGGACTCAGGGTGGCTCTGGGTGGCATGTGGTCAAGCCAAGGGCTGTAGGGCCAGCTCTGGCTGGCTGTAAGGGATCTGCTTGGGCTGTGCAGATGGCTCTGTCTCCCCTTGGTGATTGTGGATGGCATGGTGGTCAGGGCTGGACGCTGAAGGAGATGTGTGTTACAGGACCCCTTGGCCCAGACCACCAACAGGCTGGTGAGCAGCCCCTCAGACATGTGGAGGAGACTGGGCCTTGCTAAGGGACCCCTGCTGTGGAGCCAGTGTGGCCTGTGCATGGGAACCCTTGGGGAGGACACCAGTCTGCCACCCCCACCCCTCTCTGACCTGTCTCCTGGCACAGGCCCCAGACTCACTCCTCCCTCACCACATCGGCCGTTTTGCTGGTCTGTGAGGAAAGTCACAATGCTCTGTCCTCGGGTCTGCCTGGAACACTCAACTTCCTCACTCATGCTCCCTGAGGCCAGGGCTTCCTGGACTTCCCCACAGCACTTAATTCTTCTAGTGACCTATTTAATCTGTTTGTGACACTTAATATTTTACTGTGAGGGCAAGTCCATAGGGAGGCTGTTTTGTGCAGAGCGCAGTCGCTGGCAACATTATGTGTTCAGTGAAACACTCAAGTGGTGAGCCTAGTGACAGCTGTGTGACAGATGTGATGACCTCGTCACTTGGAGGTCATCGTGGGTGAGGACTGAGCACTCGGGTACTGGGTTCCAAGGGAGGTCTGTGGAAAGTCACCTGCCCTTTGGGAAAGGACAGTGAATTGAGAGGTGCTTGGGACCGCCCTGTGAACCTTTCAACTTCTCTAATTATTTCAAAGTAAAAACATTTTAAAATCAGACCTGCCACTGGTAACACGTTTAAATTTTTGTCTTTGGGCCCTGGCTGGTCCTGCTCAGCAGTTGGAGGGTCGGCCCGTGGACCGGAGAGTCCCGGGTTCTGTTCCCGCTAAGGGCATGTACCTCGATTGCAGTTTGTCCCCGGCCCCAGTTGGGGTCCTGTGGCTGGCAACCAGTCGATGTGTCTCTCTCATGTCGATGTTTCTCTTTCTCTTCCTCCCTCTCTCCCTCCCGCTTTATCTGAAGAAAAATGCAAACATGTCCTCGGATGAGGATAAAAACAAAAAATAAATAAAATTTTTGTCTTTGGTTATCACCCCCAAAAACAAAAGCCTGCGTGCTGGCCTTGACGCTTGGTGGTTGGTGACTGAGTGGGCAGTCTGTTAGAGGAGCCCCTGGACGTGAGCTGATCCTGAGCCTCACCTCTGCGGCACTGCCACCGCTTTAGGGCGGGAGGACTCGGTTGCCTCGACTTTCACTCCTGTCCACGGTAGCTCCCAGTGAGTGCATGTTCTTGTGTTTCTGAGGTGCCCGTTCATGTCCAGGGACTGAATGGCTGTTGCATGTGTCTTGGCCGTTGTGTTCTTGAGTCCCCCTCACTTGCAAACGGAGGGTGCCACTGTGCTCAGGTGTGTGGTACCCTGCAGACCGGTGCCTTGCTCACTCTCAGACCTGGACCTTGAACTCGGGTCTCCTGTAGGGGTTCCTGTTCTGACCACCCTGCAGAACCCCATAACCAGCTGCTGATGGTGCGTCTCTAGAGCCCAGGTGTAAGAGGCTTACATTGGTCCTGGGGTACAGGTGTTTGTTGAATGAATGACTAAAATGTAGTGAGGCTGGGGGTCATAATAGGGTAGAATTTTTCTCTGAGGTGGGAATTTGCTCCCAAAGTCAGGAGTAGGATGAGCGTGGTGCACACAGACACAATGGCCCTTGGAAAAGCCCTGGCCCTGGTGAAGTAGTTGGCAGGGTGTGCAATGTGGTGTGTGGGCAGACGTCTCTTAGCCAGGAAGGTTTGGGCCAGTGAGGAGACCCCAGTGTCTTCCAGGGACCCGAACTAAGCCTGATGACCCATGAGGCTCGTTAGATTCGGACCAGAGCATTTGGGGCTGCAGACACCTCCTGCTTGGTCATGGGCCTCCTCCTTTGTCTGTCAGTGAGATCTGTGCTAGCATTTCCTTCCTGAAAGAGGCCAGGCTAGGGCTCGAGACGAGGGTCCAGGTGCTTGCCCTGCCTGCAGTTGGGGGAGTACAGGAGGTGGTCAGTTGAAAGATATCTCATCAACTGCTTCCTGAAGATAAGTAATAGTGATGTTGAAAAGTTATGACAGTTGTATGTCATGAAAGGGAATTGCTACGCCTTGACTGCCCTTACACCCGGGCAGCTCTTAGGTAATGACATCCCCTGAATAGGATTAGCGGCCACATGCTCTGGGCCACCCGGAAGATTTAAGGATTGGATTACCAAACAGCCTTTAGTTTAGATTTGGTCTCTCTTTAGTCTTCAGACTAATTCTGTGTGTAGGGCTGTGCCAGTGAGAGCTGTTCTGGCTCAGTTCGTGGTGCTGCAGATGGAGGGACTTGGGTCTTCAGCAGACAGAATTGTTATAAATCCCAGGAGTTTTGCAAACATATTGGAAGTTAACACTGAAATTGCAGAAATGAAGTAATAGCATCTCATTCTGAAGAGGGAAGTATGGAGTAAGCCCCGGTTTGGTGTCACCGAAAATGGCACCCTAAGCAGTTTCTTTTTCAGAACAGCTCTGTACATTAAAGGGTCACTGAATTCCAAAGTCATTCTACATGTGTCTACACAAATGGCTTTTAAAATTTGGCTCTGTGGCAGAAACCTTTGTCTGTTAAACTGATAATATTTTTAAATAATGTGATACATTGTGACTATTCCTTGAATGTATGAGTGTGAATGAATCTTATTCATTGTCCAGGGTTATTTGTAATTGTATGGTCCTTCCAGTTTTTCTATATTGAACACATGTCACCAACAAACATGATAGTTTACAAGGTGGAAGGTGCAGTCACTTGGGGTCTCCAATGCCGTGTTGAGAGAAATTCTGTGCCAATTGGTTATCAAGTTGCATTCTGGGAGTCAGAGGATTGGAATGCTGACTGGCTGCCCTATCATCTGTGCCCCACCCTGGCTACCAAGAGGGCCAACCCCTTTCTTAGAGAGCTCTCCCTGCCCTGTGCCCTGTGCCCTGTCTTTAGACTGGGTGCAGGGAGATGTATTACTGTGGCACCAGCAGAACCACAGTCTTCTCTCCTGAGTCAGGTGTTAGGGGCCCAAGACCGTGGGCTCCTGGCAGACGGACCCAGTTGGAATGGAGGCGGCCCCGGGTTGGAGACTGCCCAGCCCAGCGGAACTCCTGCAGGTACTGGGCAGGAGTGACCGGCTCCCTGCTGTCCTCTGCAGAGGTCCCAGCCACTCCAGCTCTTACTCTTTTTCCCCGGTTATTGGAAGGGATTAGCAGGATAGCAAATGCTTGATTTTTAAATAGGTGGTAGATTTCATTTTTCTTTATTAAATAGGCATGTCTTTTATTGTGAGAGGGTTTCTCTAAGATAAGGAAAAATTCGGGGTCAAAGAGTAGAAACTTGATAGTTTTTGCCACATAGTACCAAGTTCATATTCTGTCAGCATGACAGAATTTTCCTCTTCAGCCAGGTGGGATTTTAACACTTCATAGTTTATATTTTGGTGCTGATTTAGTGACTGCTATAAGGGCTTGATATTAAAATCTGGGACTTTTTTCCAGTTGCAGTAGATTTTGCTATTTCCTTTAAAATAAGAATTTAGTGCCCTGGCTAGTTTGGCTCAGTGATCAGAGCATCAGCCCGTGGACCAAAGAGTCTCGGGTTCGATTCCAGTCAAGGGTATGTACTTCTGTTGCGGTTCATCCCCAGCCCTGGTCAGGGTCCGGCAGGAGACAACCAGTCAATGTGTCTCTCTCTTTTTTTTTTTTTTTGGTGGTACGTGCCCCTAGCAGAAACTGAACCCGGGACTCTGGTTCACAGGCCGACGCTCAGCCGCTGAGCCAAACTGGCCAGGGCCAATGTGTCTCTTATATCGATGATTCTCTCTCTT